TTGATGTCAGCTACAGATAACTGAACACTTTTAGAAGAGGACAGAGGTGGAGAGCCCTCGTCAGTGGCCGTGATTGTAATGTTGTAATCGGACACTAGTTCGCGGTCTAGTTGTCCCGTTGTTACCAGAGAATAATAGTTTTTAATAGAAGGAACCAACTTAAAGGGGACACCCTGCTGGATGGAGCAGCGGACCTGTCGGTTATTCTCCGAATCTCTGTCCTGCACGTTAATGATGCCCACCTCTGTACCAGGTGACAAGTGTTCAGGTATGGGGTTCGACAGTGACTTTAGATATATTACAGGTGGGTTGTCATTCACATCAGTAACATCTATTATGACTTTAGCATAGGAAGTTAATCCTAAACCATCTTTCGCAGTTATGCGAAGCTCAAACGATCTCACTGTTTCATAATCAACTGTGGCGGACAATTTTATATCCCCTGTTTTATAATCTATGGCAAATATTGACTTAACGTCTTCTGAAACGTGTCCAAAATCATATGTAACTTCTCCATTTAGTCCCTCATCTGCATCAATTGCTTTTACTGTCAGCACAACAGTTCCCATGGGAGAGTTTTCTGACAGACTGGCTTTATAAACGGCCTGGCTAAACACTGGCACGTTATCATTAGCGTCCAAAACAGTAATGTGAATGACCACGGTACCTGATCTTTGAGGGGAACCACCATCTAAAGCGGTCAGAAGTAGATTGATTTCTTGTAATGTTTCACGATCGAGCTGTTTGTTAAGGACAAGTTCCACAGAATTGGTTCCAACTCCAAGGAAAAAATTTTCATTCGTCTGTAGGTTGTATGATTGAACTGAATTTTTACCTATGTCGGCATCGTGCGCTTCTTCTATTGGAAAACGAGCACCTTTTGACGCAGATTCACTAATATCTATATGGATCAAATTCTTATCAAACTGTGGGGAGTTGTCATTTATATCCTGGACATGTAGGCTGATTCGCTGCAGTTCTAATGGATTTTCCAACATGAGTTCTTGTTTTAAAACGCAGGATGCTTTGTCTCCACACAGGCCCTCTCTGTCAATCCTTTCGCTAACAATCAGATCTCCGTTACGGAGGTTTATTTCACAGAATCGTTTGTCACTTCCTTCAGTATCAATACGAGCCTTTCGAAGAGATAGTGTATTTGCGTCGATGCCGAGGTCTTTGGCGATGTTTCCGATCACAGTCCCGTGTCGCATTTCCTCTGTAAAAGAGTAGCTTATATCCCCGCTGACAAAATACAAACAAAAGAAGAGTAAAGCAACGACAAGGGTGTGTATTCCAAATGTCGCGTTAACCATCATGACATGCAAATATTTCCTCTGTAATGCGCAGAAATACAGCAAACACACAAATATTATTTAAGCCAAAATCAGCACAATCTAAAACCACGTCTGCGTGTCCTTCGATGGCCAACTGCAGCACATTAAAACACATTCTGTCTCGACAAATAGGTGTGGATTTTAAGATAGGCAAGGTGGACAGCGACATCGTGAGTCTAATTTAAAAATTGCATTGAGCAGCAGCCCTGTACAATGCACATGGAAGCGTTTATGGACGAAAGTTGAACCTTAATTTAAAAGTAAAAGTGTATATTGAAGTGTGCAGACAGATAAAAAATAAAAAATAAAAATTGCATTAATCCGAAAGGTCGCTGTATACTGAGCAATGCTGCCAATGGAAACTCATATCTGCGAAAGTTTAGATCATTATTGTATACAAAATGTGGTACAAATTAAAGTTTACATATCTGTGTTCACTGAAAATGTGTGGCCACGATTTACATGATAACTTTTGAAAAACAATTAAATGTTTGTAGACGGTGGAAAAGCGTTAAAAATGCTTCAAACTACTGAAATAGTTTTATTTTTATTTGTTTTTTAAGCTACTAAAAATGCTTGAGTAATTTTCGAAATATTTAAATTAAACATTAATCTCAATTGACATTTCTGTATCAGAACAGAGACTCGAGAAGGAAAAGCAAGACGATTTTAATGGCCACAACGTTTTATAATATTCGAGAACTTTACCTCTGTGATCATTTCCAATAAAAATGTGAACATATAAATCAATAATTGCAACATTTGAAAAAAGAAAAGAAAAGAAAGAGGAGAAAGTTAAACAAAGACCTGCACTTCCACTATTC